GATTCTGGTAATTAATTAACTTATTTTATTCGAATGTTTCTGAGTGTTATATTTGAAATGATGATGTTGAAATAATACATTTGTTGATTCATTCGTTTTATTCATTTATTCATAACACCGCATTAGGCTCACAGTAATAATTTCTGTATGATACCTTTCTGTATGATACCTTTTATTAGAAGTTAAAACTTCCTTTTCACTCCAATTTTCACATAGTCACGATATTAGCGCCGAAAACCATACGAAATCTTGAATTCGTTATCATGTATTGTTATCATATTATTGTCCATATATATGACCGGTGTTAAACTCAGTATTCTTATCGTTATCGGTATTGTTAGTATCATATAATTCCATGCGGTTTAGGACGTATGACCGCACAGTTGCGGATTATTAGATGGCCTGTAGAGGATGCACGGGAAAAGTATTTGTTTTATAAAGAATTGGTGAACGTCGAAAGTGCAAACGCACGTGTTGATGATGTTTCTTATTCGGATGTTGTGAGTTTCAAAAAAAGATCATTCTTGTCAGTGTTTTGATTTTAAACAGCTGATAACATCGAATATGTTATGGCAGTAAGTTTGAAATAATTACGCCCACAGTGATAATGAAAATGATATTAGTAGCGATTGTTATCGCTGTTTTCATTTTCATTCCGATTACTCGTATCACTACTGATGACGATGTACGATTCATGTTTGATCGAGTCAAATTTAGCATCGATACTTTCAGGTCGCAACTCTATTCAATAATCTTTATCGTCAGCTGTACGTATTTCGTAAGAATCATATAACTGAGATGAATGAATGTGTGACATTCCACGTTAATATTTCGTCAGCAAACGCAACAAATGATCAATTGAATTTCATACAAATCGGTAAATTCAACATCCATCAAAACAACAATCAACGAACGTTGTGGACACAAGATCCATACACCTTAAAGGTTTCATTCGGAGTTTTTATTTCAAATCAAAATTCTTAACTCAACTTTTCACTTTCTATATGTGTAATAATTATTTCCCTTCTTCTCAAAATCCCCATCCAGTATGCATTTCGCAAATACTGCAAACCTATTCGCAATGAACATGACGAAATGCATCTGTTTGCAAGATGATTTTCCTTTGACAGTTTTCATCCATCCTAGATCAGTTGTCTGGCCTGAAGATTTCGTACGTTCCCCAAAAAATCTTGGAAAGATTTTATCATTTCGGAATTCTTAATCAAGGCAACACGAATTCCTAATGTATTTCAAGTTGTTTTTGTGAAGCAACGAATTTTCTCAGATGTTTTACGCACAAGAAGAGACGATTGATAGTGAGCTGATGGAAATTTATTCGTTCGATTTTGAAGATTTGATGAGTATTTTGATTGACGGCGCAAATGGGAAACTCGAACGAGTGGTTATCGGAATGCGACATTATTTAAGTGTATCGATGAATGTCGCAATTTCATATTCCGCTCAATACGGCAAAATTAAACAATACGTTCAGTGAGTGTTTGTTTCATCATCGACCATTTGCAACATTAAAATAATATCTTTGATAAACAACATTTTCACTCGCTTTCTAATAGTTTACGTGTTCGTCGCTCACGAAATTGTATGATAATTTTTTGTTCGCAGTGAATTTTACGCCACCTTCATAATTTCGATGAACAATCGGCATGGTTCTTTTTTATTGCGATAATTTTCGCATATGAATCAGATTATTTTTCCGACTACCTATTATCATCCATCCAATAGCAAAAATGCATGAATTGGAGTAGAGCACGAGATGCGTTAATGAAGCAGAAAAATTTTAGTCGATTGAATGAAACGTCCAAAGTGATTTTGTGTGAGCAGAGCGCACATCGATCACGGCTTGATCCAGCTGTTCAGTTGATGGTTTTATTTGATGAAGATTATTGTAAAGTTCGAGATGGGTCGAGTTCAGTGCAGAATTGTAATGAACACGAGAATGAACTTGTTGTTGAAGGAAGTGGAGAGAACATCAAAATGAATGCAACAAAGGACGACGATAGTGGGATCGACGAGAGTGACAAATTGGTAATATCTAAATCCGATGAGTTATTTGATCAGTAATAAAGCGAGTAATGCCATCATTCAGATTATTTTTTAAATTGGAGCAAAACATGAAATTTATTTTCAGGACAATTCCTCAATGCAAAATTTGTTTTGGGTAATACCAGTGATCTCGGTTCTTTTTTTGGTAAGCTTTAATTCAAACAATTTTTTTCATTTTTAATTTTATCCCAGATATTCTCACACTGACACTTTACTGCTATTGATCAGCCATATTCATATTGACAATAATGTTGATTCCAATACCAGTGATTATAATCATAATGTTAGGATAGTAAACAGTGGTGATTATAGAAGCGATAGCAGATATGCTGATTATAATAGCAGTCATGATAATTACAATTATGCTAATTGTAATAGCACTCAGAACCAATGTAGTAATAATAATAATAATAATAATNGCATCGCATTATAGATATCCGTCGGTTTCAATATTGCTCAATTGTATTTGTGTTACTCAACTGTAAATATGCATATCTAAATCGATTCTTTTCTCATACTTTCGACACTATTAAACTGTACAAATTGTCGTGCGAAATTATTAAACAGCAAAAACTAGCGAATTTTTGCAGTGATTTTCCGTATAATCCAGTCAAATTGAAGTGAATTCATGAGATTTGAATTGGTTTCTTTGGCCGATTAAAATCACTAAACTTATATTAACTACTGAAAAAAAATCTCTCAAAAAACTTGACAGGAACTTGATGTACGCATTGTTGTGTTATTGTTCATGTTTTGTTGCTATACGTTGAATCTTTGGCTAGAATTAATCATTGAAACTCTAGGAACAAACGCGATTCATTGCGATCATTTTATTACCCTATGGTCTTAAGTACTAACTGATTGTTCGATTGGAAGGAGATTGCCTCACGAGAGATTCATCTATATCAGTGGTTCCACAGGGGGGGGGGAGGGGATGGAAGATTATCCATTTTTGGGTAATTGAGAGGATCGGGAAATTAGGTGTGACGTTATGCGCGGAAATAGTAAATTATTGTAGCGAGGGAGGGGGTTAATGACGGCCAGGCAGACCATCAAGGAGGATAATAGAGCATCCGAGTATTGCTCTATATGATCAGTTTCACTCGTCACCTTTCACCGAACCGTCTCAGCTTACACATCACCTACCTGGTAACGTTCTCACCGAAATTTCGCTGATACAAATTGGTGCTGAAGTCGAATTGTTTTTTGTTGCTTTATTTGTTTGGTGTTGTTTTTATTGTTGTTCTGTTGTTGTGTGGGTAAATGGTGTGTGTGTAATTTGATGAGAAAAATGATCGGTAATGTAATTTTGAATTTTTTTCTTATTTTCTCCCAAAATTTCTTTTATTTCGTCGCCGTTCTCATCAATTCTGAGAACATCCATCGCGGTGATATTTTACTTCAATGGAATCGTTGATTTCTCTAAATTCACTGTCGTTGGTTTACACAGGAAAATTTCTGAAACACGAGGATGGGTAAATCATTTCTACTTGGTAAAAAACAATGTCAGGAAACACCATCTTCTGAATTACAGATACAACCCCCGAGCGGATTGTTTTCCGTCGTTCCCTATCTACGCCGCTAACCTCACGGCTTCTCAATCTAAGAATTTGATCACCCTCCTCGGAGTCCAAATTAATTGTTGTGTTTATTTGCGATTATGTTTTCAGTTGATCACTTTTTCTGTAAAGACTCACTATAAAAGATATGATTGTATGAAATATAAATTTATTCCATTGAAATTTGACAGCAAATTACTCTTGCAAAAATGCATACATCACAATCAGTTGTGTGAGTAGGTGTACCATTCGGGAGGAAAAAGTGTTCCTATTTATGACTTCCACAGGCCAAAATGACTTTCAAAGAGGGAATCCTCTCGTGCACACCTGATTACCATCATGACTTTTCATCAGTAAGAGGAAGTAATAGTTTTCGCTTGATATGGCAATATTAGGCAACAACAGTATTCATGATTTTGGTTTACTTCCTGGCTCAAGTGTTTCAACGAGAAAATAAACCCAAATCATGAATTTGCTTAAGTTCAGAGTGTGATTTCAACGACAAATCAACTTCTATAACAGCACTTCTTCGGTATTCGACACGAGGAAGATGCTTGTGATAAGACTGCGTTCGATTGACAACATTCACAATCTGATAATTCACTCAATTTCGCCGACAATTCGTCCCATCTTCGCTTCAAATAATTCTCTTCTTTGTTTTCAACGATCGCTGTGTTAACTGAAATTTTCAAATTCTGCGATCGTAAGCAAAACGTTCGTTCACAAACAATGATTTACCTTTTTGAATTCTTATAAGATGGAAATCTGAATGAATGGACTGGTCGATCGTAGTCAAAGTAATCTTATTTATTGAGCCAATGATTAGTCCAAATAATTTGATTACAGGACGAAACAAAAGATGAATAGCTGCTGGTAAACTACGGCGATTGATAAGGAGGTGATAAATGTTTATATCGTAATCTGATATTCAGTGATCCTACAAAAGAGATAAATTGGAAATGAGGTTGATCACACATACTTCGATGTGGCTGCAGCAATTCATTTTCATCATAATAAATGTTTGGTACGTAGTTGACGAACACTGCCTGCCCTTCACTTGACATATACACATATTCACCTTTAAAATCAGCATTCGATCAAATTGCATTCATTTTCTGATTAATTGAAAGAGAAGTGCGCCCAATTCAAAAAGCCCTTCTCCGAAAGAAAAACCTATCTGGAAGTGTGGAAAATGCTATACGGGAAATTGCAAGGTGGAACTGTATCATAATCATGTTGCAGAAGAAACAATGGTCCTATCATATCAGATCGAAATGTGATTATTCATATCGTAAAGCGCATCAAACAGAATTTGAAGAGCCCTAATCGGATGAAGGTCAATGAAAAATGCATTGATTCAAAGTGAAATGATAGAGGTCATGAGGATTAGAATTGAAATGATGATGCCTGCATATTTCGACTCGATCGATTTCCCATTAATTTTTCTTTCTCTGGTCACCGCCATATTCGGATGAACCTGAATCATCAAAAACACTTCTATATTACGGAACCAGGTAATAGTTCCATTGCTCTTATAGGAGGGGGTCATATCATCATACCCTCTATTACTGAATTATCTGTTGGTCGGTTTTCGAGTTGCTCCTGACATTGTGTGTAGACAGTAAACTCTTATAGGAAGGGGTTAACGACGGCCTGCCAGACCATCGAAGAAGTAATAGAACTTCTAAGCGTGCGAAACACTTCGATAGCATATCAAAACCTAAAATACTGCTAATGCCATAACAGAATAAGCAGATTCAGAGAAGAGCACAGCTTACAACATATATAACACGCTCCTCTTCCGGCCTCTTCAGCATCTCACAACCGACCAGGCCCAACAACAACTACCATTATGATCGCTTGCATACCAAGAACGACCCACCAGAATTTCCTTCAGCAAATGCAAAGTTATTCAAATTTTACTGCTTCATAACGTTCAGGTTCGACAAAAAGCTCATCAAGCTTGACCGAAGCAAAGATGAATTCATCCTAAATTCAACTGAGGAAACTTATGAATAGAAGAAAAGCTAGGGAAAGTTTCCACGAAGCATGAAATTTCATAATAATGATGTCGTTTTCCTCACCCAGTTTACCTCAGGTGCTGATCTCAAATTACTCGCCTGCGCTCTGTAGTTCAGGTCACTTGTTTACGAGATCTTTCGGTGCAAAATTATGTACAGACGAACGTTCTCACGAATAATGCTTAGTTCCGGAAGTCTGAATTATTATTTCATATCCAGCTCATATATTGGGCCATTCAAATCAACTACTCCTTAACTCTAATCAACTTTGTTTGCTCTGTAGCTAGCGGTAAAAACCAGTATGACGGCTGTTAGTTTATTAGACTTAA